TAAAATTCCTTAAGTAGCTAATACTATTATTACTAAAAGCAGGCTTTTTAAATAGCTTTATTAACTTAAAATAATAATTAATAAAAGCCTTTAAAGCTTTATATCTCTTAGTAGTAGCGTAAATTATAAAAGGCTTATACTTAATATTATAGTAATAAGATTATAAAATTAGAATTATATATATAGCTATTATAATAAGGCTAAAATTATAAAAATTACTTATTTTAAAGGTTTAGTAAAGAAAATATCTTTAAGTATATAATTTAACTAAATAATACTTAAAAATATTATTAAAATCTTTAGTTTAAGGTAATAAAAATTATAGAATTATAACTAGGCAAGGTAAAGGCTTATTTTACGATTTTGCCCTTATTCTATAATTTTACTACTTACTTTTTAAGTAAGGCTCCCTTTTAGTTAGATCTACAAGTAGAACAGAAGAGGTATAAGACTTGGAAATAGGAAGGACTATTAGCGTTTGGGAGATGGCTTTAACATGATCCGAAGATACGATTTTGAACGACGACGTTGACATGCTTTTCACGATGATCACTAGACGTCGGTGAGCGTAGTCACATCACCATCTTACTCCTTCCGTTATGAGTTGGGGCAATTACGGTGCTTTGTGACCACAGCCCTACATCTCGCAGCAAATCGCGCCGCCTTTCCTTTATGTCTCGTGTGAGGTGAATGTCACTTATGGATATGGACGCTTAAATCCATAGTCCACGATAACATCCATCCTCGCCGGGGCAGATGCCTCCGCCTAGCTTGACTTGGTGGTGTTTTTGCCATGCTTCGTCTTGTGCGTCTTACTTTGTCTCTCCTTGAAGCCATCCTTACTCCTAAACGAGGGAACCTTCTACCGAAAGAGGACGTTTTCCTCGATCTTCTTATAGAGGAATTATGACTGCTATCCAGGCGGGGGCTGCAGCTGACTTTTGCCTTTAGCGACTAATAGTGTTCTGTTGATGGTCGACCCGATAATTACAATCTCCTGATCTTCGATGGCGCCTTCGTCCCATTTTCCGTCTTTTCTTAATGATGTACTGTTGAAGCGAGCGCCTATCGCCCTTCCCCGACGCGCTTTCACAATCCCAGATGATAATCCAAATCCTACAATAGTCCGTTCAAAGTGGGACAATCTGATCAAGGGCTTGTCGCATGGGTTGACAGTGTGCTTCAGCTTGAGATTACCGACGTTAACAGGGATGTAGGTGTAATGTCATCAGTTCCAACTGGATGCGCCACCACTTCGCCATGTTCGGAAAGAACCAACCTCTGCAGGCAAGCTGAGGATTTTGCCAGCATTGTGCTTTAAGTGCTTCCACAAATCTTGCACTCTCTGGTTGGTCAGACTGAATCGATGGCGCAGGTTTGGTAGCTTGATAAGCTCAATCTGACCGCCAGCTTCAGTTCAAGGGAGTAAGGTGATTTCTAGAATCTCGTTGTCGATCATCTGTGCATTCTACAAAAGCAAATCAAGCTATTGTTGGAGCAGATGCAATGATATTTCGCTCAAAGAACCAATGGACAGCGAGTAATTTCCCATGCATCCATGTCTTGGGTTCCAAATTAAGTTGAGGATGGAGTAGGGTAGATGTCGGTGAAGTCCGACGATTTCAGAAATACTATACATTATATTCAAAAATGAATAGCCTCTTGTGGCTTCTAGAAAGGCACTAAACGCAGATACGACCTTGTTACGTGCTGAATAGTCCATACGCCATTGCTGATCTCGAATAAGAGACAGCGGACAGGATGGGAGTACAGCCGCGCAGCTTGGCCTCAGCTAATTTGTTGTCACTAACTGAAATACAGTATTGGAAGTATAGAATCGACATTTGAGAAAGCATCAAGTCAGACTTTACAGCCAACTGTAATGAAACGTCTTCAACGTCTCAGCGCCGAACAAAGATGCAATATTCACATAGTCTGCCTATAATAACCCTTGATGGCCGCCTTCCAATCTAGACTGCGTTTGATAAGCAGCAGGGTTCACATCCCCGATCTCTTTGTTGTCTCTGTAACACTTACGTAGCCCTTCAAGAAGCGAGGCTTTCGTGAAAATGCCTACACCGCCTATATACCGCAGCTCGCAGACAGGTTTCCCAGGTCTCTCTCTACTTCTACTCATCTGTCCATCATTATCATCATCACCACCATTATCATCATCAACATCAACATCAACATCAACATCAACATCAACATCAACATCAACATCAACATCAACATCAACATCAACATCAACATCAACATCAACATCAACATCAACATCAACATCAACATCAACATCAACATCAACATCAACATCAACATCAACATCAACATCAACATCAACATCAACATCAACATCAACATCAACATCAACATCAACATCAACATCAACATCAACATCAACATCAACATCAACATCAACATCAACATCAACATCAACATCAACATCAACATCAACATCAACATCAACATCAACATCAACATCAACATCAACATCAACATCAACATCAACATCAACATCAACATCAACATCAACATCAACATCAACATCAACATCAACATCAACATCAACATCAACATCAACATCAACATCAACATCAACATCAACATCAACATCAACATCAACATCAACATCAACATCAACATCAACATCAACATCAACATCAACATCAACATCAACATCAACATCAACATCAACATCAACATCAACATCAACATCAACATCAACATCAACATACCCGTAACGATCGCAATCAAAGCAATTATCAAGATGAACACCAGCAGTGAGGAACCGCGTCAGCAACCCAGTGACGAAGAGTGGGAACCAAAGTCCAGTTAGTATAAACATAGAGCACAGCGGTAAGGATCCAACACACAATGCAGTCTTTACCTACACTGAGGCCTATCAGCAGAACTTCCAGCTCCAGAATGGTCGACAAGTAAAGAAAGCCAGAAAGCAAGGGGCGACAGCAACCCAAGCTCTCACAAACCCTGAAAAGCCGTGTCCCGTAAGTGGACGCCTCCCAAAAGGAGAGCGTAAGATTGTTCTCAAGGCCGTTGAATGGATCGATTTCAACGTAGGATTCTTACTTTAAACGTTTCCTTGCAACGAGGACTGACATATTCGACTAGTCTTCCCTTGAGGAACTCGGACTCGATTACGACGAGTACCACGAGTAGATATTAGGTGCCAGCTTCAACGACCTGCATGTACAGTGAGCTAGGTACCAGTCTCAAAGTGAGATATACGTCAAAGGGAGGAAGAAGGAAAAACAAAAACAAAAAATGGTTCTCAATCGTCTCAACATCAGCACAGCAGTCTACCCTCCTTGAAGGAGTATGACTATCAAGACAGCGGGGAGGAACACACGCGAGTACCGGAGGCCTAACAATATATGAACCAAAAGAGTAAAACATTCTATTTGTATTGAGGGCATCTGGTCTTGGGATACTGTCAGACTCTTGCAAGAAAGGACAGATGATGGAGTGCTATCAATGGTGGATACCAAATCTAAAGGACTCTTAGACTTGTTGAACTTCATATTCTCTGGAGTAATATGCCTTCCCTGAACGTCAAATTGGTTGTGAGTGAGACCACCTGCTCCAAGTCTTGCGCTATTGACTGCTGTGCGATTCCGGGAGTATACTCTTGATACTACGGCCACCGGGATTAGCCCCTCGCCGGGGATAGATTGGCCTATGACCTGTCGCATGATAAATATTGGACTCAAAAATATATCGAGAAGAAAATAGCTATTACTTTGGATTAAGAATATTGGTATAGATGACGCCGGGGTGTATCGTGCCGGTCGACTTCAGTTTTAAACTCGACCTCGTCCACGGTTCACGTTACAAGCTCGTAAGTAGATCTAATTTCGGGCGGATAAGTCTCTTGGAGTGTTAATACGTCCCATCGCGAACCTGGTTCGATGATCACAAGATTCTCTCATGACCAAGGAATAACAAAAACGCTCAAAGCAAACATGGGCTATATGCTACTACAATCACCAATTATATATCGTTGAGATGACCATACAGCAACGGCGAGAAGAGGCAGCTGATTGCAAGATCATTAGGGATGTCGCAAGTAATGTTCTACCATCAATTCAGCTACTAAGCAGAGCACCTTTCCGGCCTCTGTATCTGCATCACAGAGTAGAAGCCAAACCTGTAGCGTGGTATAGTAATCGTATACGAAATGGGGTCCGAAGGACGTATTAGCTGGGCGAAGAGCAAAGGATTACTGATAGATACATCTGAGATGAACGAAGGCCAAGGCGGGAAGGCTTGGATAGGAATCTCGAGGCTTGTGATGGATGCCGCACGTCACAGCGAGCCGGGAGGGAGAGTTGTCATGACAGTTGGGACTATGCCATGCCGGAGAGTGCGATCCGCTTGGCGCTTTCGTGTCTATCGGTCGCCGCCTTGGACGTTTTTATCAGGGGCGCTAAGAACAGTGACAATTGTCGGTATCTCGGAATCGCCTCCTTCGAGCAAATGTACTCTGGCCATACTAGCGACACGATGTAAAACGTCGCTGTTGGTGAGATCTTGACCAAAGGTGCATCTGGTGGGATCAGAAGAGCCTGATCATGGATTTTGAAACGTACCTTGATAATAACATTGGAGAAAACCACAAACTCGTTCCCAATATAGACCCTGCATCAAACCCTCTGCCATGGCGCGGCGAAGATCTTCGCTGATCTTCCTTATAGATTCCTTACACTGCTTCTTCTGCTCCGCTTGTATTCATCAATCGCATCCAGCTTCTCCGCCAAATCCTCCTGATCTTCTCGTGCCTAGAGGAGATTCGTGTCTTCAATCTCAATCTTCTCGTTAATAGCAGATAAATCTCCATTTGTATCTTCGATATCTTGTCTGTCTTAACAATCTTCTCGTTGTTCTTCTGTCTCTCCTTCTCCAACTCGCAAAGCTTCATTTCCATGACAAGAGCTTTAGCCTTGTGCTGCGCCACGTCAGATTTAAGGCTCGTTATGCCGGCATGCTCGTCTCTTTGTCGTTGCCTCAGCTCAACAATCTGCAAACGTAAATCCTCCATCGTGGTGATGATATCTGAGGGAGCATCGGGGTCTTGAGATACACAACGTCGTTTGGCTGAGACGTTGGTTGTCGGCTCGTTACGAGGTATCATGTGACTCGAGGCCTCGTATGAGGGGGGTGACTGTCCCTCATCATGGAACGGAGGAGCTTTCGCTTGATTGCCTGGAAGTGAATCGGTGGAACGGTTCGGCCAAGGCTTGATATTTGGGGTTGGTTGTCGACAATGCTGATGAAGCGATGTAGCACAGAATCCGGTGGGTCGTTCGTCGGAATATAAGCCTTGAACTCGATTGCTTCGGACAACAATCGGACAAGGTCGAGCACTGTACCCGACTTTGCTCCTCTCGGGATGAGGGGTTCGTTGGTTTCGTGTGATATAAAGGTGTTGAGGCTAGTGCTGATCTTGAGTTGAAAGCTCAGCTCGGTGATAGGGCCCTGTAATAGCTGCTGGGTTTTCTATGACGCCCTCGGGCCGCGTAAGAAGGTAAAGGAAGAGAGATGGTAGATATTGAGGGCAAGACTAATGTGGGATAGATATGTCATGCCTTCAAGGTAGAGAGGGAACTCAAAGGCAATTAATCCTCGCTGATTTTGATCATCAAGCTTGGGGGCAAGCTTAAGTGCCTTGTCGGCAGATGCAGAGAGAGGTTCATCTAGATACATGATCTCGGTCTCTGATCCTATTTAAAAGTAACAAGTGTCTCGTCCTCCTACTCCTACTCGAGAGTAGGGGCCTCGACCTCGATGTCAGATAACTGTGAAGATGACATATCTCCAAAAGAAAGCGTCAGCAATGCCAAGGGAAGAAATTTACCTGCCAGTATGAAAAAGATAATTGTCGAAGAGATCAGTCTTTGTTGAGGCGGAGGATGTTCAGGCACCCAGTAAGTCGGCGTACACTGAACACCCAAACTCGAGCCAACAAAGGAGCTGAAGGCACAGAAAGATCTGGTCACACAGCAGGCGACTGACAAGCCCTGCTCCTCCCAGCAAGTCGGCGAGGAAGCGAGGGAGTCCCTTCTTCACTCCCCGATCCTTCCTCAAGAGGAGGCAGACGCGCTCGTCCTGAGGGGTAGGTTTCGGAATTTTATACCGGTTGCAGTGTGTGATGTTTCCAGGGTCTTTCTGGCGTTGTGTTGAGAAGAGGGAGAGAAGAGAAGGGAAAAGAAAAGATGTGTGCTTGGGCAAATATTGTGCTACCTGAAGTTCTGTCACTGGCACTATCACTTCTATTGCCAGTGTGAGTATGAGCGCTAACGTCACTCATTGGCTATGAATAGCTGCCGCCCCACTAAGTCTTGACAGTTCAGGGTTCTTTGCGCCAAACGTTTGCAGCCTGGAGAAGCATTGACAGACTGACTTAAGAAGAGGATCTCACCAGATATATTATATTGCGGCGCGACAAAGAAACCAAACACAACAGGTAGATTGAGATTAATACAATTTAAGAACATGATTTCAGAGAAAGCGGCCAGCCAAGAAACGACCCGCCGTCTGTGATGCGTATGCCAGCTTATTCAACAATAAGTTTTGCTATCTTTCGTCAGTGGCAATTAGGGGGCATTCATCGGAGGAGCAGTGTTCTTTGCTGGAAGAGCAATAATATTATAGTGGGCGGCGCGCTAGGGAATGTTTGGCAACACATCGTGACCGGTAACAAGTTTCTGAACACCGACTAATGAACAAAACCGACAAGATGAAAAAGAGTCTTATTCTTTCACTAGCACAGAAAACATAGTGGAACTTCAATCAAGTCAAAGGGAAGATACTTTTTTACGCAGATATTTATTTATACATTCCAAGTAAAGAGGCTGACCAGCCAGTCTTCCTCCTAAGATGCCGCTCCGAAGAAGCTGATTGGCCACATCACTCTTGGCAAGATTGGTGAGACAGTATGTAAGATAAATTTCCAACAGATGTAGCCGCAGAGAGCGAAATCAACGGTTGCCTTTATCTGGCGTTATGACTCAACCAGAGAGGGCGTCGTTGATAAATGGGTCGTTCCAAGATTTCGACACCAACGTCTTGGTTCCTCATTTAAATCACCATCCCTTCTCCTTATCGGCCCTTGAATCAGGACCTGGGAATCTATCCCTAGTATCCTTTTTCACACATGTCTTTCTCAAGTTCTGTGTGGCTCACGTTGATGATATTTTATTCTGTTGATGACACTATCGCTCTTTGTGGCGGGCCTTGGTTCAATTTTGTCTACAGACGAGTCTCTAACATACATAAAAAGCCTACCCAACGACCTGGCCAATATACCCAACTATACGTTCCTCCTGTAAAGTTCATCATCAATGATCATTACCCATTATTCTTTTCCCGATAGTTTGTCTAATGTCCTCTCCGAAATCTTCCAAGTTCTCTCGAGTCACCATGGTATTTTCGATGCCTGAGCACTTGTCATCGACCTCAATTAGCTCCTGTTGTACCTCCAAAAGCTTTGCGTCATAGCCTTCGGGGTCTATTTCGTCGGTTCGTTTTTGCAGGGCTTCGGTCTCCCTTTCTGCTGTGCTTATTCTCCTTTTTACGGCCTTGATCTCCTTTTCTGCTGTCTCGATTCTCGCTTCCACCGTCTGGCCTGGCGATGCAGGCTCTGAATCTTGTCCTTGATTTCGCATACGGAGTTGCTCGAGTCGCATCTTTTCCTTTTCCAGTATACCCACTCTTTCCTGCAACTCTTGCGTCTTTTGACTCTCCTTGCCCAGCTTCTCCTCCTACGAAGTTTGCCGCAACTCGAAGGCAGCCATCCTTTCATTCAGGGCTTGAAGACTCTCAGCCTCCAATGGGGTCCTTTCGCTCTCCTGGCCGTGTGGCTCAACGCGAGGCCGTTTTCTCTTTTGTGCTGCTGTGTTCGAGGAGGATGATGCAACCTCATCGTAAGCGGGCAGCTGTTCGAGCTGGGTGCGAGGCAGCTGTTCTGACTCAGTAGAAAAACGAGCAATTTGAGCACCTTGGCCGTTATAAAGGCTCTGCAGGTCAAGCTGTCTGTTGCAAGCGGATCGGTAGCGGCCCTCATTCAGTGCGTTGCGGATGGAATTCAGTTGAGCTTCACACGAAGCACTGTAATCGATATAAACCGATAGAGATGCCATTTGTGATATTTCACGAATATTGTCAAGAACCACGCCAGACTGCGTGCGGCCTTGCATCGGCTGTTCTTTCGTTTGGAGAGGAGTAAGAACAATGACATGCTCATTGAGCTTGAAATCGAGACCAAGGACCTGAGAAATGAGTTTGTTCCTCACGGGCTGAGGGACTGGTGCGAGGACTTGACATGAAAAGGTGTCGATGGTGGAGAGCGGGATACTCAAAATAAGCGATGAGGGCTGAGTGTTTTTGTTTTCGGTGCGCTTGAGATAGATAGGTATGCAGATCTCGAAGAAGGAGGAATTCTTGTCGGATCGTGTCCTGAATGTCAAGTTTCTTCGTTTGGGATCAGGCTCGGCCAGGTACTTTAGGGTATCGCGACTTCGCCAGGCGACGACGGCAGCCGTAGAGATTTGAGGATTTATTTCTGACATATTTGTTCAGTCGTTCAGAACGAGGGGTGTTGTTCTGGGAGAAATGGGAATGAATGAGATTACGTTGACTTGAACGCGAGCAAGTCGGTCATTGAATTGATTCAACCTCGTAGGCAGCAATAACACCCATCGCATCGGCTCGGGATGGAGGATTCGCCGAGGGGCTGTTCTAAATTTAGCGACTTGAAGCAGCACCAATTTGACACTGGCAAGCGATTTCGCGTTCATCACGTGATCACGCGCTCTCCAACTGCCCCGCAACGCGCATCATCTTCGTGCCCCTCTTCTCTCCCCCTCCATCTCCAACTCTCCTCTCCATCCCCCACCAAATCTTCTTCCCCTTCACAAGCACACAGTACAAGTCCAAAGACCCGGTAAACCACCACTACAGGCCGGTATAAAATTCCGACTTGTACCCCATCAAACGAGCGCGATGCCTCCTTTCTTGGAACAACCGGGGCACTGTAGACGGGACCTGGTTCAGCGCCCGCCGGCTGTGATTCGGGGGCCTGACGTTTGATCAACTTGCCGGCTGTGATTCGGGAGTCAACAGGTTGCCGGTTGGTGCAGTAACTGGTTTGATCTTTGGTCCGCTGTGTTGTGTGCGCTGTGTTGAACCAGGTGCGTTGACGCTCTTCTCTTTGGCTAACTCTGTTGCAGGTTCATTACTCCGAGCACCGACATCTCCTTCTCCGCATACCAGCAATCTTTCAACCGGCGCGAGAGTATCGTCATCGACTCCAACGGTTATCTGCCTTGCTCATGCTGGCTTCTGTGACGAGCTAGGGCAGCACCTTCTTGGTAAGGCACATCAGCCCCAACTATTCTCGGAGCTAATGTGTTCGGTAGCTGAACCGTTGAGAACCTTATCGACAACGCCACTCCTCATCCAAGTTCCTTGCCTCCTCTCAATTCCCTCTCTTCCACCGCCGCCCCTATACAAATTACAAAAAAAGGACGCTTCCGTCGGCGTGTATTCTCAGATACACAAGCTCAGCATATCAAGGGTCGCCGCCCGTACTTGATACCGCCAGCTGGGGGTCCCGATACCGAAGCTGCATGCCAACAGCTCAAGGTTTTTACCTGCTCATCATCAAAACTGCCACTACGACGAAGAGCTGGGAACTCTCCATTTCTCATGCTAGCGTCTTCACCCACATCTGGGATTGGCTACATCACTATCGTGACACAAGCCTTGAATCATTAGTAACGAGTCACAAGACCATGTAGGAGAATCTGCTACAATTACGCATCAGCCTTTGTCTCTGCACCCACAGGTTCCTCTATAGACCTCCCTACCAACTCTACGACGAGTCATTCTTGGAAAGCTCTCCAACATCCCACCGTCGGCCAAACAACGTCCACCAAGCGCCGCTTGACCCCCAACCAGCACATCGCCAACCAGACAACTCAGTGGTCTGCTTCAGTCTAACAGGCCTTGGTTCTCGATATACAAGCAATCTTCCCCACAAGAACAGTTCCCTTGAGCTCACGGTAGCGACATCGCCTGCATCAAGTGAAACGTCTCCTCCCTACAAGCTCAGGTAACATCACAAGATAGCTATCAATTGAATGTGCATTTCACCATCTCAAAATTAGGACCAAACCAGACCGATACTTCGTGCCCACGTTTCGACTCATCTTCCTCTCGTAGCGAACACTTCCCTGTAGATATGCTCCATCATCCTTGTTGCTCAACTACCGAGCCTAGCGCCGTGTGACAACTCTAGTTCAAAGCCTAGTTTACTCTTCCACCGTCAGATGTCACCCTGCCCCATGTCTGAGATTCGGTCAAGACCAGTCCAGCACCACGAGAACGAAGGCGAGAAATATCCAAGCCCTGGCAGAGAAGACAGGACTTCTGAGGAACAGCGGTTCCGTCTAGCCCCGAATCAACAAACCTGGCAGTGGTCGTATCTTCATAACCAGGATGCCCTTCTGGTAGATTTGCTTGCGGTATCTTATTTGTCTGACTTGCACGGCAATCGTTGAGCCATGAACTCTTATACTTTGTTTCTCTCTACCGCGACAAACTCCTCACACGAGCCGGCCTGGTCTGACGGCATCCCAATCTAGCATTTCAGCTTGTCTTTATTGAGCTCGTTCTGCCCACCATTGAATACCTCGGTTATCTGATCATAACTATGACTCGTAGGATAGTGCGGCCCTTGAGTAAGGCCGAGCGTGACCGATACAAGTCTTGGGACCAACTTCAACTTCAGCGTCCTTTCTCTGTTCCTCAACTTTGGCCGTTGCACCATTGTCCTCCTTCAGCTCAACAGCGTTTATATCCTCTTTGACGTTGCACCATACTTTAGCAGTCACCTCTTCGACCCAGCACTCATAGTTGTGGCTGTCTGCAAGGTCGTTGATGGTGCGCCCATCACGGACATCTAATCCAAGAACAGCGATATGGCATGGGCAAAGAAAATCATTGCAAGCCACTGCGTTTCCAACGGAGGACTGTACAAGATGGCAATCTAAAGTCACCCATCGTGGTTCAAAATGAGGTATGCCTCCCAGAGCAACCACACGAGGCGAGGACTGCCAGCCTAAAGAGCATCCGGTCAGCCACCCAAACAGCCACGAGAAGCGGAGCATCATGGCGATGCGATATATAAGTCCAAACGTATCTGCATTGCCTATAGGTCAAGAACAAGATTGAACGCGTTATTGAATAGAGAGATGGCGATAGAGCCTCGGTCAGAGCAGAGTTAACTATCGCTAATTTTCTCTTCAACGAGGCAGAGGGCTCTAGTAGAGCAAGGTACTGACTGATAAGATAAGGCTCTAGCGACCCACTTCTCAACGCAACCCACCATCATCATTCAATCCAAACCCACCATCACCATCATCACATCGCATCGCATCGCTTTCCCACACGTATACATTCCAAGCATGAACAATACGCATTATCCATCACCTGAATCGCTACCAGAGGCACATCTTTCGCATCCCGCCTCTGACGAACGCAAACGGGCCTCGAACGCTACCGCTGATGAACTACCCCAAAGCCTCATCGAGTTCAAGCGCAAGTGTGAGACTGGTGACTACTCGCCGCTGACGGAATTCCACCTGAGCAAGACTGATTACACCCGCCTCCACGACAAGATCCAGACAAGGTTTCGACGCTTCGATTATAACCCTCGACGTCAACTTATCACCTTTCGCATGCCTTCCACGGTCCACGATTTCTTTGTTTCGTTTCTTGGAAGCGCTGTCATGAATAAAATTCGCGGAATCGGACGCCAGAACCGACGAGCTCGCGCCTTCACTCAGAGCATCCAGAATGGCTTGACCTCTAATGTTATTCTAATTGATGGCGATGACAAATGGGAACAACAACCAGATTCGCAGTTTCGCCACATCGGAGCCCGATACCCGGGTGTAGTTCTTGAGGTTGCATTGACTCAAGACGCAAAGGGTTTGCGGCGGGTTGCCAGACGGTACATCTATCATACCGATGGTCAGATCAAAGTGGTTCTTGGCATTGATCTCAATAAAGACAAAGAGTCCACCATATCAGTATGGAAGCCCACCTTCAGCCCAGCACAGAATAGTGATGGGGTCGACATGGACATTGAGCGAGTTGTTCAGGCACAGGTAAATCTTTCAACACCCATACCGTACATGAAAGGAACAAGCTGACCCTTTTAGCCCTTTCGAGACGCCAAAAAGAACCCTGTCAACGGTACCTTGACATTACGCCTTCATGACTTTGCGCCTGACAATCTATGTCAAGATTGCCCCAACACCGCCTTCTCGATTCCATACCGCGACATGTCAGACATGTTGGCCATGGCCGAACAGTTTAAACTGATAGAAGAACGAGAGGAGGTGCCCGAGCCCTCAAGCCGCGTTGTTCACAAGCGACGCTATTCAGAAAGCTCAGAAGACCGGATGGCGGAAGAGGATGATTAGCAATACTCCGATGAGGCAGATAATGCGAATGATAAGGAGGATCGTGGCGACGGAACTTACAAGCCCCCCAAGAATCTTGGGAACATGACTTTTGAGCCTCGCAAGAAACTTGCTCAAGTGGCGAGTCGGGGCGATTGTTCTTGAGTTCTTAGGTTTCATAGATATCCTGTACACTATATCAAGGCGTAATAATAACATTGATCCCACGATTAGAGATACTAGGGGGAGGAAAGAAACGGATAGCCTCAATCCCAAATGGTAAAAGGCTTAGATAACTTAGTATGAGTTTGGGATACCTTTTACCAAGTTTATTCTCATACCCTTTATCAAGGTGGTCTTTTGAAGGTAACCTTGGCCCCCAAGTCAGTGGATCTTTCGCCCCGGTATCCCTTGACTTGATCTACCTGTTTCAGCTCTAGCCTCACAGTTCCACTACCTATTTCGGATCAAGATGGTTTTCCAATTGGGTCAGTGTTGTGAAGCTAATCGCTAGGCGAGTGGATCTTTATGATCAACCTTGCCTTTTCAGTCTGGAGTCAGTGAACAAATCAACCGTACTCATCGTGTCAGAAGCCAACTGAAAAAGCGTTCTAGTCTAATTTACCCAGAATCGAAATATAGCTAAATGTTCAGACCCAACACTTATTTTTAGTAATGTGGTTATGCTTACTGGAGCAGTCTGCTTCCTCGATTGTGCTGCAAAACAATGGCAGAGGGTTTGCACTGGGATCTCTCCCATCGACAAGCTGAGATATATCAATGTCTTCCATTAAGCTTAGTTATCTGGGCATCAGTCAAATGAGTCAATTGAACGTATTGACTTTTATTGGTCAAAGTGTACTCTAAGGTTGTCTTGTATCGGCAATCTCGCTCACTGACTTTGGGCTCATGGCTCTGGACGGCACTCTGGTAACAGCGCGCTCAACCTTTAGGGGGCAGGGATGGGGGTCCCCGGTTATTAAATGACTAGTCTCAGAAAAGAAGATGAAAAGGACGATGAGGGTATCCCAAAAGCCCGTAAACATCGTGCACAGGTATGGAGGACACTGATCCCTCTAAAATCGGTCTTCAACAGGTGAACATTGCCTAATCCTCGCCAAAGTCCCACCGGGCAGATACACCATTCTCATCGCCTTGAGTTCCTAAGACTGTGATGTCCCTCAGAATATACGAGGTTCCAATATGCTCGATCCTGAGCAAACTCATGGTCCACCGCTTTGACCTAGTCCCATCATCAAGCTGGCTCTCAGGCATCTGTAAGAGAGTGCCTTTCAACACATCTTCTCTGTTGGGAGGATGTAAGTTCAAGTTCGCACATATCAACCGATATTCATTTGTTGAAATTGATGCGAGCCATGTCGTGACCAGTTTCATTGTAAACTTGTTAAAACAGGCTATCGCCAAGGAACCTGAAATATGGCCGTAACCCCCGTCAAAGACCAGTAATGGAAAAATTAGTCAAGTGTCCTAGCAAAAACACACGATTACTCGGGAGTTCTGAGGTTGTGGCGGCGGTGAAGATGAGGTGCCAGAGTATATGGTAGTTTGAACGTGTTGCGTACCTCGCATTCAGCGCAGAAGTCTCAGACCCATCTGCCTTCTTTCTTGGAAATGGCGAGCACGTTGACTATGCCAGGGAGATTGTTCATTGGCATGCCGTAGTGGAAGTGATGACAAAGGCCGATGTTTCTCGAAGGGTTCTAATATCCAGGATAGCAGTACAGCTTCGTTCGCGCAGTTGGCATCCCAATATGTAGCCCACTACCAAACGTATGATCCAAAGGAAGAGTTCTTGCTCTATGGTGTAAAGTTTCCGTTTCGTCGGCTTCTTTATCATGACAAGCGCTGTAGTCGAGCCTTGGAGCTCGGCGATCTTCGGGCAGAAAGCTTCGCTCGTGTGAGGAGTTCTGCAATATGATCTCGCCATCAATCGGTGGGACATCAAGCGATTGGAAACAGTAACGGTGTGCCCTTGACTTCCACATATGATTTCTCAACCATCTCAACTAGGGAAGATAGTCGAGTTGGCTAGCATTGATGCCTGAGATGCAGTTTCGCTAATGGGGGTAGCGATCGCAACAAAAGATCTGTAAGCGATGTAAAATAGTCGGGCCAATGCAGAGGAAAGAGATCGCCAACCCGATCCCACGGGTACACTACAATGACCTTGATAGTGACAGCGTGGCGGGGCAATGCTCGTTATCCTCCAGTAGAAAAGTCCCGAACTGACCAGTACTGACTGCCAGGATCGCAGTCCATGCGAGGTCGTGGCTAGTGTTGTGACTGTCTATATACAAACTTCATTATTCTCTTCAATCCACGGTCTCTTGCTCTGAGCCCACTCGAATCAAACTTGAGCATCTTGCGAGCTTACATGAGAAGCATTGCCGACCAGGCGCCGCAGAGTCTCGTGATCCTGCTGCGGTACTGCTTGAGAAGTTGCGGGATTCGAGGTTGACTCCGTGGCGGCGATAGGGGTTCGAATGCGCGCGTCGGTGGTAAGGGTAATCATCGTGAGCAAAGCTTGCGGCATATATACAACTCAGCATGTTCAGCTTTCTCCACTGAGCTCGGGGGACGAAGGCAGACTTGGTCAGGTGCTTCGGGATCCAGGCTACCCCGGCGATGTTGGTCAAGAAACTGTCACATTGGAAGAGCTCGATACTCAAGGATGTTCCTGCGGCAATGGTAAACTGGTAGTGCCAGCGGCTTGTCGGTCAGGGCGGTACAGCCAAAAGAACCTCTTAAGCTATCACAAGTGACGACAAGTGAATGGTTGCGCTGGCTCCCGTGGCGCGTCGTTTACTTTGTAACTTTGTGAGTTCCATTGTGCTATAAACATTGGCATCTGAACATGATGGACTCGAATGCGGCCAGACACCTCAATAAAGACTGAACTTGGATGCTTCTGTATCATAAGTACGGGCCTGTACGGGTTGGTGGTCTCTATTGTGTAGCGAAGTGAGGACCAAGCTCTGGGGCGCTCACCATAGGGTATAGATTCTTCCTGGGACAAGGTATTGACTTTAGGTTCTGGTGGCTGGATGCAACGGGGAGCCAAAGTTCCAGACTAGATTGGCTATTTTGCTGACCGTTCCAGAGCCTCGCCTGTATAGTACGCCGCTGAGCACTTGATATAGTAAAAGTATTGTCGTTCCTCGAATAATCGGGCTCGCCATGTACGGTTATATTTGGATATCGCTTACGGCCGTGGCGCTTGAGCAATCGAATTCATCGCTTGTACCCATGATCTTGATTGTCGCTTGAATGATTGGAATCGTCGTACGCGGCCACGATCGTGGTAACTCATGGTTGAGCAGATCAATGTTGTAATAGTGGCATGCGGCAGATCGCGTCGGCAGCGGCGTCAACGTTTCTCGGTAGCCATACTTGCTTCTAGGGCCTCGTCTCCTGGTCTGCCTAGCAAAAGGCCCGGAATGTCACCTTTGAGGTTACGACGTGAATTCGCCAGATGAGCACCAGTGTTTGGCAGAGGATCTTTGGGAACACTATGTGGCGGAGTTGGGACGTTGCTATTGATCCAAGTAGGACAGGAATTGAGAGCGAAGAATATTACGTGGGTAAGTCTGGCTAAGGGTGGTCTGTGTGGCAGGAGAAAGGAGTTTGCTTCGATTTCGCTGATTTGTAAGGGCATGTCAATGGGTTAAGAGGTTTGTTTGGGGGCGGGCGCTGCGGCGGTGGTAGGATTGCGATTGGGCTTTCGGCGGGTCGGAGATTGGGAGGTGACAGATTTGACTTGGTGGTTGCGTGTTAGGTTGGCAACTGGTATTGAAGATGATAGTGGAAGATGCAGATCAAGAGTCTCATATACCATGCGAGAGGCGCCGAGCTCTGATGAGCACATTTCCTTCCGCCCGTGTAACCCTCTACTTTATCGAGGTTCACAAGCCCTAAAGCAACCACAGGCCTCGCCTTTGCCCGTGGGATTTCCTACGACTTGCTTATGGCGGACTATGCCCGCATTTCGCCCTTATTGAACACCTATCATTGACAAAAATGCGCTACCTCATGACAATTTACCCGCAAAGACATCAACCGCCTGAGTGGATCGAAAGAGAGTGAAAAATCGCGTCTACATCAGCAACGAGAGCGAAGGTGAGCATGCCAGATGCTTACAAGTGCAACGTAACAAAGCCCTCGACAAGCACCGTTATAAATGCAACTTCTGTATAAAAAAACATCTCGTGACTGGTCTGTACTAGCAAAAGGCCGCCGCCCTTGTAGCTGGTAATCCAGTACCGATCACACGACTCGACCTCTACTGTCATGTCTGTAAATTTCAGGCCTCCAACCCGTCCCAAACACGCCAAGAAGATACATATCTTACTAATCTTCTTAAGTATGTCAATTTGTTTCCTTTTCGAGGTGATATAAATTCTCTTAGTGTCGAAGGTCCCAAGCGTTCAGGATTATTACATAATTTTCGTTAAAAGCTAAAAGTTGTTGCTTATGGAACCTGATGATTTGGCCTGCTGAAATGATCGCCCAATTGGCTTGATCCTGGGGTAATCAGGTTTAGTGGAAGTGCTCTGTACCCCACTGAAGAAGAGACCACGAGCGCCAACCCGTCAGCGTTTAACGTTAGTTGGATTGCGATGCACTGCACCCAGAGATTTCTCACTTCAACATCTTCAATTCCTGTGCATGATGTTTCTCAAGGTTTTGAGCTACCCGATCTCAAAATAGTGCTGATATGTGAGATCTTTGTGTAGTCGTGAATCTAGCAAGTTCTACGAAAAAGGTCTGACCGATTTAAATTTTCGTGAAGATTTAGGACGTCCAGAAGCCAACATTGACCATTGGTGCCGCTATCGCGCGCATTCTCCTCATCGCTCACATACTTGCTACTTCAATACTAAGCTGAGAACTGTCTTAATATTGATTTATTTTCTGCAAACTATCTATTCTGCACTGTCATGCCTATTTTTCGTTCTCCAGGCGTGGTTATTCGGAACCGAACTCACCTCTTCTCCGGCATCCGCGGATCAGGCTAAGCAGAAGCTCAGTCACACAATCAACTGTGCAGTCGTTTCCGAGACCTGAACCCAGGGCAACAAAACCAATGACTCGAATGAAGATAAAGACAAGCGCAAAAATGGCAAACCGACGAAAAACAATCGAAAAACAATCGCTAGATAGCCACTGCCAAAAAAAAGCCCAAGGTCGTACAGGCATAGACCGGTTTTCCCAAGAGACATACATCAGTCGCGAGACTTACCGTCCAAGCACTGCACTTGCTGCCAGCCTTAGCGCGGAGGAGATTTAGAAGGCTGGATATGGCATTGGCGTATGGCCTGGAGGATAGATGTCTACATTCAGGGCCCTCCTCAGTATGCTGTGTTCGGAGGAACGTCAATCGCCGCTACATGAAACCGGGATTGAAGTTGCGTGGTATTCCGAGTCGGAACTGAAATGCCTGAAACGCACACTCAAGCTGATCCCGGAGGCTCCAAGCATCAGAGCTGTCTGTAAGGAATTGCAGTTGGAATTATAAGTAGGTCACCTCAATACGAGGCCTCGGTGTATACCGCTCCAGTGAATATCTCTCTCACCGAGCCTCGCATTTGCACATGCCACGAAGGCTCGACGAAGATAATCAGTGTAGATAAAGCCAGCTGACTTTCTTAGGGAAACCGGGAATGTAAAACTACGACATTGCGTGCAGGGAACTTATTACATGCGGCATATGGCCACCATCGCCACCGAACATTGCTTCTTAGTGTCGCCCACGCCGACTCGATAAATCCTCGACCGCGAGACCTGCGTCAACCCATAGTCCGCTGGTGTACTTGATCAACGCTACCCGGTTTCAAAAGACCAGTGAGATGCATTGGCTTAAGCTTAATAGCCCGTGTTAATGCCAAAGAGACACGATTTATGCTCGAGGATAACGAGTAGTGCGAATGAAGCTCTGAAGAGCAACTTCCAGCGTGTTTAGCATGGCTACCAGGCACCGACATATGTGTATTAAGTGAGCCATCTTACCTCAGCATAGATGCAACGTCAACAACAACAACAACCATTACATGCAAAGGATAGTTGGGCTAGGATAGGGGCGGACCTCAAGGACCATTTAGGCGACCGCACACAAGGAGATAGGTGCCAACTCCGGTGCTCTCATCCCCACTGCTGTCCAACTTGTTTCATCTTTCTCTCTGTCTGTCTAGCGGCTATCGGCGTAACTTGTAGGTGGGCTATCAAGGCTCTTCAAAGCGATGCCACTATTCGCAGATGTCCTCCGCTCGCCATCTGGAACATCCGACGTAACATGCCAGGCACCTTTCTTGGACGGACTCGCGTGCTGTTCAAGCCTTATTGGAGACTGTCGTGGCTTTCCTGAAGTGGATCGAGGACGGTATACTCTTGCGCCAGATCAAAATGTCTTTTGCAATTCTTATCAGGTCGAAGCACTATCTCTTCCCCTGTCTACTCAAACACGCCTGTGGAAGCAGATGTCTTCGATTTGGACCTACAAGCCAACGCTGGCTGAGTAGATGAAGTGGGCGTGCTCGCCGCCAATTGAGATCTGACAAAGAAGCACCGGGAGTCTTTGTCTACAATTCTTTCTTTCCTGTCACTGTGATGGAGCTTACTACCTTCGTGTGATTCGCAGGCTACCAGATAAATGCCGCGTTGTAAGTGAAAGTAGAGCGCCCGGGAATGTTCCGCTGAATCTCTCGGTAACAACAAAAGCCAAAGACACCAGTAACTACATCCACTGAAGCAGCTCAGTGATTGTCTTGGATATTCTCATATCGTCTAGTGTACTGTTGGTGAGGTGTAAGTAATACAGAAGCCAGGTTTGGAGGCAATACAGCGGCAGACGGGGGCAAGGAACTTGGCTGCACTGGATCGCGGCAGCACGAGTCCTTCCAGACCTTTGTTCCAGAGGATAGTGATTCCTGAACCTTGGCGTTTCCTAACTACTCTGGTACTATGATATGAGATGATCCGTTGGGCTGTTGTGCTGATTACATTGTCGATGGCTTATGCAACATAGCTTTGATATATTATATACCTTGCCGATTTTCTTGTACTAGTGCATCATTCGCTGGTCCATGATTTATTGTAGATTATATTGGAGCCTGGAGCGTTATAGAAAGCCTGCCCTTACTGGTCAGTATTGTACCATAAGACTGTTAATAGTATCTGTTGCTCTATTATAGCTAGACTTCTATCTGCTTGGCCGGTGTATTACTCCTTGATCTCCACCTGCCCTATGTCAGTTACTCCAGGTATGCTTTACCTAGACTGACCCAGATATCGACCACGATCTTCTTTCCTTTCCGTACCATCCATCTCGATCATAGCCGACGGTAGTGACACGTAACTGTCGGCGGGATCCAGCATGGCGAGCTCTAGAGGAGGAACGGATGTAGTCAGCGGCGATTTGAGTGCTGGTGATGGTAGGCTCCATGTTGCTGGTCATGATTTGGCAAGGTGGGAGGAGATTACCGATACGGGTTCATGAGGATGCCTAGCCGAGGAGGTAAAACTACTAGTCCAAAGAGAAGAGATATAGAATGTTCTAGCGCAGCATTGAGACCATTTTAACAGGAGACTCAATAAGCTGACCGCTGAATGATCAATTCCTGTATCATCTTTGGATCCCTTGCTCACCTTGGCTATCTCGGTCGGAGCTACTAGGAAATATGGGATACCTATCAATGCATTGCTCCGTATCGCTGCAGTGCGGGAGGCACCTTTACGGTGATATGAGAAGGGTGGCCTTTTTTTTGGGGGGGGGGGAATAGACACTGACTACAGCTATATGACAAGAAGCAGGGATACATAGCCTCATTTCACACTCGCGGTAGTCGTAAAGGGACCAGATATTGCTAGGATATTGTCCTGCACCGGCCACATCGGTGCTTTGCCATGTCAATAACAGGTGCTGCTTTCACTTCTTCGCTCTATTGGGAGATGACTTGAAGAACGCCGAACATGAAGCATCAAGCGGTCAAGTTGGCAGCCGTGCACCAAACAACACTGTAGGGATGAGCCTCAAGCAGTTGACGGATGTGAAAGACGTGCAGATCATCTCCTTATGTAGGAACGGTATACACGGAGGCGTCATCACACATCGTATAGTCGGTCTGTCTTGAAGAAGCTTTGCTCATGATTGTTGTACCCGAATTTCCTGTAATTCTGGTAAAGGTAGAGATATTTCCTAAGATTCTAAAGAACAAGAAAGTAGTTAGCTATTATTGGTGTACCCTTCCGACTTGTGTAGTTTCTTATGTTTCTGATAGCTAAATCAAAGAAAAACGCCGACTTCATGACAGGATGGCAGGATAGTATGCGCCTCTTACTTCCCCAAAGAGGCCGCGGTCATCTCGACATCCTCCTCGAGGTCACCACGACCTTGCTCGTGACAGTCAGTAACTTCCCCGTCACATGAAGATCCCATGCCACGGACAGCCCGCTTATCCTCATCCACCACACAAGAGGGAGACACTTCACGCAGCCCGGCGCGAAACTCTTGCTCCTCCTTCAGCAATCTTTCGAATATCTTGGCTGCCTCATTACACTTCTTCTCGAAGTTCTCCGCGGTTATTTCTCCGGTTTCCTGTTCCTCGGTTATCTCAGGCAGTTTTGACCCTCTGGCAAGGTGAGAGAGCTTCTCCGAGGTCTTGGTGCACAGTTTGCGGGCTTTGGCAAAGATGAGGTCCAGCATTGGTTTCTCCTTTAAGCTCATTTCGAGATCATGGCGAAGTCCCCAGGACGTCATGACCTGACCTTTGAGGACCAGAGCATCACGTTCTGGGTTCGGACGGCGGGTGTGCTCATCCAGCATTTGCAGCACCTTGCGCTTCGCTTCATCCAAGAATTCGGGGGTAATAGCTGTCTCGCCAGTAGAGGGGCCGCCAGCAGGCGAGTTGGCAGTGGTTGAGAAGTTCATTTTATTGTGCTAGGGAGGAATTAGTGACAAGACAAAGGTAGCGGTAGCTGCGCGTTTGTAACTTACCGCTGCAGAGAAAGACGGAAATGCGTAGTTATTGAGGTAGATAAAGGCGAAGTAAGGCTATGTGTTGCCCTGGTAATGATGCTGAGATATGGTTGATGGGCTGAGTGGTTGTCTTTGAGGCGTGCTTGACGGACTAGGGACGGGGAGAAAGGAAGAGAAGAGAAAGACAAAAAAGAAGGGGATTTTTGAACTCTACAGTTGCTGAGCTAATGAATAATCATTAGCCATTCAGGTTTGTTTATTTTTGCTTTCTGTTGGATAAAGGCTTTTGTTAACATATAAAGGTTCAATGCGGGACGGGACGGCTGCTGATGTCAGTGAGATTTGAGCGTTTTAGTACAATTTACTTACTCGTGGATCTAATCAAAAGGGAGCCTTACTTAAAGAGTAGGCAGTAAAATTATAAGATAAGGATAAAATCGTAAGATAAGCCTTTACCCTACCTAGTTATAATTCTATAATTTTTACTACTTTAAACTAAAGATTTTAATAATATTTCTAAATATTATTTAGTTAAATTATATACCTAAAGATATTTTCTTTACTAGACCTTTAAAATAAGTAATTTTTATAATTTTAGCCTTACTATAATAACTATATATATAATTTTAATCTTATAATCTTATTATTATAATACTAAGGTTAAGTCTTTTATAATCTATATTACTATTAAAAAATATAAAGCTTTAAAGACTTTTATTAGGTATT